AAGCTTTACCATTGAACTAGCAAATTGCCATTCCTGGGAATGATGATTTGAAAGCGATAAATACTGTATGCAGATCTGCATCTCCACTTTCAGAGCCACATGGACCACTTGTGAGGTACAAGGGATCTCTCCTCAAGACCATGCTAAACCATGCCTTTCATCTCTCAACATGGGAAAACCAAAACTCAACACACAATTAGACTCCATTTGAGCAGAAGTATTTGTCTGACCCATTACCTTAGGTGTTTAATCACCTAAGTTGATCAACTATTAATTTATTGTGGACACTACATCATTATTCATTTATTCCTCTGTGTGAAACTATTTGACACTCTGTTATATTAACTTAGCTACTTTTTGTTACTTTTCACTTGACAATGATATCTTAATAAATACTTTAATAATTAAATAAGTAAGTACACAATTTCCTCCTGATAAAAATGTGAAAAGCAAAACAAGGAAACTAACAACGAAAAAATTCAAACGTTGAAATACCGAGGATCATGTGATGTAAAGTAATAACAACTAATAGTACTGTTCATGGAGATGTACGTACCAGAACTATAAACAAGTCTACAACACGCCAGTGGCACATACAACCTGAGATTAACCCGGTTTCTGTAGCATGAAGCAACAAGAATATTTCTACTCCTCCCTGGAAGGGATGCATGCGATAGTCCATCGCTGCTTTACCCCCCGTATTAAAATTTGTTGGTGCTCTTTTATACACTCTATAGTTTAATTTGCTTCAGTGCACAGTATTTACAAATATTGATCAACTCAATCTTTTCTGATAAGTATTCTTGTATCCATTTGCTTTTGATCTGTAATAGCTTGGAACGAACACTGACCTTCAGTCCCAGCAGTCAAAGGCCGTAAAGAATATTTGTTTTTGTTATGCCTAAAAACTGTTGTGCAAGCTATTAACATTTGCAAACTATTGTGCAAACATATCACTTCACAGCAGGCTTAGCAGACATATCAGTAAGAGCTGGATATGAAGGCTTGAGAAATTATTTACGAAGTAGGGTAGACGTGCACTCTATCTGGATGGTATCTTGAATTGCAACTCGAACCTGAGTCAACAGTGGTGAATCCAGACCTTGAACTAAGGGGGTGGGTGTTGCTTGCCCTACCGGTTTTTCTTCCTTCTTTGATATTTTTATCTTTTACCCAAAATAAGGGGGAGGGGGGGGGGAGCCCGGGCCCCTCCCCTAGATCCACCACCCGCCACTGGTCAACCTTGAAGCTCCACAGCACCTTTGTAACGCAATATTTACTACGGTAATATAACAACAACAACAAAAGACCTTTTTACCGATGTCACACTTTTCCGATTTTTTCACTCAAAAAAAAAAGAAAACAAAAAACAAAAAACGCACCACTCGACTTATCGTGCCGAATTTAGTAAATAGGTAAAGCCGGTGAGTTTCATTAGAATCCGTTTCAAACTCATAAAAATATGGGACCCTTACCTTAACAAAAAAATGTATGGCGGGTGACAAGCACTGACCTCTGGCGTAAATTTCCTTGTAGGATTGGGGTCCCATATTTTTACGGGTTTGCAATGGATTCTTGTACATGTAATACTTCGTAGATTTACCAAATTCGGCATGATAGATGGGACTATGCAGGGTATTTATTTGTATATTAGAAAAATACGAAAAATTGTTGACATTGAGTGAGATCGGTAAAAAGTTCCATTTATGAAGGTATTTCTGCATAGCAATACAGAGCATTGCCTATTTAAACTAAAGGAAATAGGGTAGTACCTGAAATAAGAGCAAATCTTATTTTTAACAAGAAAACACTGCGATAAAATGAAAAATGTTTAAACCATTTTAGTTTAAAATTAATGACAACGTTTCGACGTTTGCTTAATGTCATTATCAAGTCAAAGATGGGTTAAGTTCCTTGATGAATAGCATCTGAAAAACTTTAGCATTGTAAAAACACTATAAGGCAGCATCCAGTTATGCCGGAGAAATTTGAAAACGCATCTTTATTTCTACGGTTAGGTTACGCATTCTAAATTAAGTTTTATTAAAGTGAATGAACACCTATATGATTATCATTATTACTGTACATAATTCTGTTATTCTTAAACTTTTAGCTAGATACACGACCCCACAAGCAAATGTGTTGCTTTAAACCAAATCGTACTTGAATAAAGGATTATTATTGTTGTTATTATGGAGTTGCAGCATTTGGGTATTGTTTATTTACTCCTTCATGTTGTTTGCAAAAATAAATGTAATTATTAGTCAATGCATTTTTTTTCTTCCTTTTCATTTGCTGGGAGCCCACCACGTGGCTTGCAAATAACTGCCTACAATCATGCGCAGTACCGTCTAAATCTGTTTTGCTCTAAATAATAGAGTGTGTGCATTGTCACGCGATAAAAAATAAAATCAAAAACCATTCAGTGGATAAAGTCAAGAAATTGTGATATTATAGACGATAAATAAAGAAAACAGTTCTCCAAGTTTAAGGTGTGTGCGTTGTCCCAAAGTTGAGATATTCGTCGAAATGTTCCGCGCAAAATTATAGAGTCTAGTATSGAGCCGCCATGTTGGAGGACCTCCTTAGTCCTCCAATATGTCGGCCGGAAAATAGTGTAAACATCTGGAACTTACTTTAGCTATGTAGACAACTGATTATCTGAACCGAACCAAAACACATTTACACAAGCACTTTTCCTAATACTTTAACTCCTAGAATGGCTAAAAATCACGAGATAAGTGTATTTTTCGACAAACGCGATCTTAGGTTCATGTCACTCACCGCCATAACTCCGAAATTCGAAATGCGCTGGTTTCCAGACGAAGGACGCTATTGAGCTGGAAAGTTGTAAACGGATATAATATAAGTACCTCTTATGCCTGATGAGAATAAAACCTTTAGGGGCTCTTCAGTTTTGGATTTGAGAATTTGATGACATCACGTGAACACGCTATATTCTGCTCTTGAGTAGTTGTAACCGCGCTCTCGGGTAAAAAACGGCAGATTGCTTCCCTGAGCTCTCAGCGAGTAGTTTAAGAAACTAGTGATCGAATGATAAAACAATTATTAAACTCGGTCATCGCAAAATACCCTGACTTGTCGGTGTCTTGCAGATCAATTTGCCGAAGCCGAAGCTTGCCACTGGCAAATCCTGATATTCGTCCAATAGCTGTTAATTGTGTGTTCTTTTTTTTTGTTGTTTTTTCGATATCATCCATAAAAAGCAAATTTAGTCACTGGGTAGTCTCCTTCGGCTGGTTCTGCTTAGGGTTCTAAATCAATCATTACCGCCGTTAGAGTTATCCCAAAAGGTTTTAACAGGGCAATATATACAAAGACAAATGTGTTCCCTTCGCATTTGTGTTCTAGAATTGGCAACTCTTACAGGGAAAGCCAATTTTACCCATTCCCAGAAAATAAAATTCCGTTACCTCTCGACCAGTGAAAGATACAATGATGATAAATGATAAGCAAGTACTATCATGTTGTTCCATCGTTTTTTTTTTTCCCTTCCTGGAGGGAAGCGAACATGCTTCTCTCGAGCAACTCTTTAATGAACGTGAACTAGATTGTTTAAGATTTATTTTCAATTCTACAGGTGTGATAGAGATGCTGGGTGGCGCTGGAGGACTTGTGGAATTCAAGGCTTCCCTTCTGGCTTCTCATGGATTTGCAGCTCTTGCATTGGCCTACTATTCTTATGATGATCTACCAGATTTTACACAGTGTGCCAACATGGAGTACTTTGAAGAGGCGGCTAACTGGCTCAGTAGTCATCCTAAAGTCTTGCCGCATGGTATTGGCGTTCATGCCATTTGCGTTGGATCATGGATTGCTTTGTTAATGGCAAGTCTAAGAATGAATGCCATTAAGACCGTTGTGGCTATTTCACCTTTTGTGTCTTGCGGTGTACCTTTTCAGTATAAGGGGAAGGTCTCTGAGGTATTTCCTCTTGAAAATACCAAGAACATATTGACGGAAGATGGTAGCATCTGGCGTCATTCTTTTTCAACAGTCACGGATTGCAAACCCCAAGTTTCTAAATACCCTGCCATCATACCAGTTGAAAACATTTCCTGTCCTGTTCTGTTAGTCTTTGGAACAGGAGATCTTAATGTTAATTCTGACTTTGCTACAGAACTGATTTTTGATCGCTTGAAAGCCCATGGCAAGGAACATTTGTGTTTTATTTTGCGTTATCCCGAGGCGGGACATCTCATTGAGCCGCCATACACTCCACACTGCTATGCTTCATACAGCAAATCTACTGCCAAATCGCTGGGTGACAGCAACCTAGTGTGGGGAGGAGAGATGGGTGCTCATGCTAAAGCACAAGAGGACGCCTGGCCAAAGATCTTAAGTTTTCTGCGAAGAAATCTTCAGCACTCCTGTAGTTTATAGTACGCAGCTAAGAATTAAGATTAAACATGCATATTAATACGAAGAACGATTTTCGTGAGAACTTCGTATTTAGGCGGGTACCGATGAGGTCGTGACCCGGGGGAAACGTCCCATACACGGTGGCTTTCGTGTATTTTTTGTTTAAACAAAATACACGTATTATAAATTACAGTTGTAAAGAACTGCGCTATTACACTTCATATACATACACCATCATGTGTTACTTAGAGTAGGAAAACGAAAGAAAAGAAAAGATTTAGTTAATTATGACAACACACATTAGCGACAATAAAATCCAAAAGGAAAAAGGAGAATTGAAAATGATAAATAAATAAGCAAAACAAAAACAAAAACAAGGATTAACGCGAACAAAGGAGAAGAGGACCGATATTTCATTTCTACTCTTGATTTTAATTCAAGTAACTTTGTCTGTGAGGATTGGAGAGGAGTATAGTCATGAAGATATTATGGATCATCGCAGTTATGCACACAACTTACGCAGTTCAGTGAAAAAAATTCAGGCCTGAACGGGATTCGAACCCATGACCTCGGCGATACTGGTGCAATGCTCTACCAGCTGAGCTATCAAGCCAACTGGGAGGTGGTCACTTTGTGATTTCGTAATATATCTGTAGAAGGGGAAGAATACAAGTGAATATATGAAAGTTCGTATATTTGAACTGCGGAGAATGATATGAAGATATTATTGAAGATACTATACTTGACTATAGTGTAGTCATGTTACAATGAACGCATTAATTTACTACAAGAGAAGAGAATCGTAAGTTCCTTGATGTTCTCTTGTTTGCTTATTAAGTTTCAACTTTCTATTTTGTTTTGACGGTTGGTTGAAGTCGTAAGCAAAAATGTTTTCCGCGGGAGATATGAACGAGCCAAAAGGCAGAGGGTGGGGCTGAGAATTACAAAAATAGACTTGTATTTAAAATTGATTTTACAAACTAAGTGCGATTTTGAGACCGCATTACCGCACTTTATTATATGGCTGTGTCTCACAAGGACTAGGAACTGCCCAATTCACGAATTTGGTTATTACCACAATTGCTACTATCGCAATCCGATTGGCTAATTTGCCGTTGTCGAAAGAGTCCAGACAACGCTGCTTGCGTCAATCTGTCACGCATTGCCTTTTTCAGCTCACGCTCTGAAAAAGTCTTTTCTTTGACGTTGATATTGTGGTAAAAAAAACAAATCGAAATGTGGTTTAGCGTGGTCTGTACTCGTATCGACAACGATAAGCATCATCACCGTGGTCAAAATTTGTTGTCGACTCATTCGGCTGTGCCTCGTGAGCCCACAACATTTTGACTACTGTAATGACGCGTCTACACCGGTTACCCTTTGCGGTGAAAAAGTTGCAAACTAACGTACAAAAATATTGACTATTTTCTTTTTTTAAATGGAGCTATTTTCTTTTTTAAATGGAAGTGCCAAAAAGCCCGATGCGAAAAAAAAATTGAAGAGGATGAGCAGACTTTGCAGATTTCAGTTCAGCTTACCGCTGTTGGCAGGCAAAATGTCGCTTGTTTATCATATGATAACCATCTTATTAACCGAGCTTAGCGGGTCTTTATGGGAGAATCTTGACCAAGGTCGTGAGTACAGACCGAATGCACTATGCAGACCTCCTGTTCGGTCAATGAGAACTTATTTTTTTCCTCCACCTTCTGAACGATCCGGAATCCTAGGTTCTTGAATCCGGACCCTGAGTACGGACCGCTCCGAAATTTCCAGCTTTTGCAACTTTTCAAGCGTGTTGTTTTTAAAAACACTGTAAAACATCGTAAAATATAAACATTTAACAAACAACTATGGATTCCGAGCAAACAGTAACGCTTTTTGTGCCCGAAATGTCTAACGCACGTGTACGCCAGATTTGAACTGAACGGCTTTAATTAGAATTCAACTCAAAAGTTGCCTTCAAACCACATACCGGGAAGAAAATAAACACGTTATTTGCCGGCCTAGGTAGGTTCGTATTGGGAAAAACTGCGCCAGAGGTCATGAGTACGGTCCGATTGTGGCCTCGGGCCGTTCTCAAGACTAGCTTGGGCACAGTTCTTCACCATATGGGCTTCCCAGCCGGCAAATAACATATCTTTAGTTTATTATTCTCCTGTTGGGAGGGCTTCCTCCCACGCCGCAAGATTGCGTAAGAGTTTTTGTACATACGAACGAGGTTGATTTGTTTCCTGAAAGATGGCAGGTTGTGATATTTCTGTGCAACCCTCATCTTCACTCATAGACGACAAAGTTAGAATCATTGCATCTGGACTTCAACCAAAACAGAATATTACGCTTGAGGCAAGGATTGTTGGTGACAAAGGTGAAGTGTTTGAGTCACACGCTCACTTTATCGCTGATAAAGATGGCAAGGTTGATGTTTGCCGTGACTCGTCTTTGGGAGGATCTTACAACGGAGTTTCACCCATGGGATTGTTATGGAGCATGAAACTAGCACCGGGACAGAGAAAAGGAACTCGACTGATGAAATCAGATGTTACCAAACCGTACAACATCGTCTTGAACTGTTTTGATGACCATGTAACTGCAAGCGAATCTTCGCTGAAGCCTTTGTCAAGCGTGACATTTCAGAAGTGGTACATGGCCGAAGGAGTAAAAAGAATTCCAGTGAGAGAAGGAAGAATCCGTGGGGCACTTTTCATTCCCCCGGGAGATGGACCTTTCCCTGGTAAGTTGAAAGTGCAAACGGTGAACCTAACCCTAACTCTAAACCGTAACTGCAAAAGATTAAATCGGTCAGTTCACGTACGAGTTATTAGAATTTCTCTTCATAAGAATCCTTTCGGTTGTGCCAAAAATAAAACTTCCGATAAGTCGAACCCTCGCTAACTCGAACATCCGGGAGGGCACTTTGTAAATCTTTTATTATATATGTGGGAACGTGTGCCGCTGGGACTTCCAAGTTTCAATTACTATACAATCATGTAATTGTAATAGTATATTTCAATATCCAGCCATCATGGTCAATAACCCATGTTTCTCGTTTGGCATCTGGGACATCTTTGAAGATTGTCTGTTGCTCATTCTTAGAGAAGAAGTGTTCACTTCAACGTTTGGGTGTGGATGTCTGGACAGAAGGGAGAGGGTCATCTCAATTTATGTAAGGTGTCGCAGGAGGGCTACATCCTTTATAAGGGACGGTCTTAAAAGCATGCTTATGAAAATACAAATGCACCAGCCCCTACTCCCCTCTAAATGTTAATGCGTGGTGACGGTCCCTGAGCATGTGTCATTGTGCCACTTTATAGGTTGTTTCCCGATCTTGGAGTGAAGTGACCATGCTTCTCGTAGCCTATTAAGATTTCGTTTCAATTCTACAGGTGTGATAGAGATGCTGGGTGGCGCTGGAGGACTTGTGGAATTCAAGGCTTCCCTTCTGGCATCTCATGGGTTTGCAGCTCTTGCATTAGCCTACTTTGCTTATGATGATCTTCCTGACAACCATTCGTCTCTTGACATGGAGTACTTTGAAGAGGCGGCTAACTGGCTCAGCAATCATCCTAAAGTCTTGCCGCATGGTATTGGCGTTCATGCCATTTGCTTTGGATCATGGATTGCTTTATTAATGGCAAGTCTAAGAATGAATGCCATCAAGACTGTTGTGGCTATTTCACCTATTGTAGTTGCTTGGTGTACACCTTTTTACTACAAGGGGAACTACTCAGATGTAATTCCTCTTGAAAATACCAAAAAAATAAGGACGGAAGATGGCCGTGTCTGGCGTCATTCTTTTTCAACAGTCACGGATTGCAAACCCCAAGTTTCTAAATACCCTGCCATCACACCAGTCGAGAATATTTCCTGCCCTGTTCTGGTAGTCTTTGGAACGGGTGACCTCAATGTTAATTCTGACTTTGCTACAGAACTGATTTTTGATCGCTTGAAAGCCCATGGCAAGGAACATTTGTGTTCTATTTTGCGTTATCCTGAGGCAGGACATCTCATTGAGCCGCCGTACACTCCACACTGCTATGCATCATTCTCTGGCATTACTGCGGAATGGACTGGTGATGACTATCTAGTGTGGGGAGGGGAGATGAATGCTCACACTAAAGCACAAGAGGACGCCTGGCCAAAGATCTTAAGTTTTCTACGAAGAAATCTTCAGCACTCCAGTCGTTTGTAGTGTACAGCTCAGCTTACAGAGTAAATTGACTGCTGGCCTCTGCCTGGTTGCAAGCTTTTTTGGCAGCTCTCAGAGGTTGCTTACAGGCTAATTTAATGTGTAGCACATTGTTTAAGAGACATTGCCATCAGCAGTTTTGGGTGGGGGTGGGGGTTATGCTGGCAGATACCTAATATTTTCAAAGCACAGTGATTAGTGGGCCAATACAATGTTCAGCTTGTGTTAGCTTGCTTTTCCCTTGCTTTTGTAGCTAATCAGCAGCAAAACTAGGAGCACTTGTGTCTCCGATACATCATTTTGCTAATGCTAGCTCCAGTCCATTGTGGGGGCAAAATTTGATCTATTTCATGAATTAATAAGGCCATTTTTGGCTGAGTGATCACTTCTTGCCTCCACAAGGGAATGGAACTAGGAAGTATTTGCATTAGCAAAATGGCGTCTTTGTGATGCAATGCATGGGAAGGAAAAATCTGGCTACAGACTGTGATCAAATGATGGTATGCTTCTATTAGCATCCGGAGGAAAAACCAAAAATGCTTTAGGAGATCAGGCATTTGTGGTAGCAGTACCAAGGATACGGAATGGACTGACATTAGAGGTTAGAAATGAAGCAAATATCAATCAGTTTAAACAGCTTTAAAGGCATAATACTTTAGGTTAGCTTTTAATTGATATCAAATTAGATTTTTAATGTATTTGTATTGAATTTTTATCTATATTTAATGTTTTGTATTTCTTAGCAACCATTGTAAATTTTTATCTTTTAGGATTAGTTATAATTTTTATGATGTAAAGCATACTTGATCATTTCATGGAAATTTGCGCAATAAAAATTCTTAATATTATATAATATAATTGATTGTGTTAGCCATTGTATTTTCTATGGCATGGTATAAAATAATTACAGAAGCATATGCAACGCTTTCTCTTGGTGTACATAGAGGGTGCGTTCCCGTTTGGGGTGATCTGGATCTGGATTAGTGATCTACGATCAGTGTGATCTAAGATGACTACCGAGATCATGGTACATCAAAGGACCTTATCAATCCACTCCGGTTACAGATTCATCGGTTCCTTTGACGCATTGTGATCTGGGTAATATTGAGCACTGATCTTGATCCAGATCATCCCAAAGGAACGCACCCAAAATTTCCCATTTGTCATTGCATATCGAGAAAATACAAGTGAGCTATGTTTTTCTAGTATTAAAGTAGTTAGATGAACATTGCGATTTTCCAACTTTTAATTTGAAATAAATGTTGCACGCGAGCAGGCGGATTTAGCAGGGCAGGGTGTGAACCGAGAGCGGGCGCGAGTCCAAAAGAAATCTGTCGGATTTCATTGGGACTCGCGCGTCCCGCTCGTGGTTGGCCTCCGCGCTTATATATGGATTGCGCTTCGCGTTTTGCCCCGCTTATCCTGGTTTGTAGGCTAAGCATGAGTAACAAAGGCCACGCAAATCCAAGATCGCAACCGCCACAAGATTAGGATCCTTGTATGTGTCTTGATCAACATTTGAACCACAACAGAATAATAAAACAAAGTTATTGAGCGTAAATTAACAAGGAGAAGTGTTTCATTCTGGCGCTCACTTCACTGAACAGATGGACCTCCTGGACCTAACCTGCCGACTTAATAAGTTCACTCACGCAAAGTTTTCCTTTGCTGATATATTTAGCAAACCTCATAATCCCACATCAAGCTTTACAAACAGAAAATGGCAACGCGGGGATAATTTAAATGTGAAAAAATTGAGCCTTGAAATATTATCGACATCAATTCTCTAAAACAGGTTTAACGTAGCAAGCGTTCCCGTACGAAGAGCTTTTCCGCGTTATGGCCGCGCGTAAATTGGAGCGAGAGCAAAACAATGCAATTCAGACGCAGCCAGAATGCGGAAAAACTCTTCGCATGGGAACGCTCGCTACGCAGGCAGGACCAAATTCTTCTGTAAAGTTTCCCTTTACATCCTAGCCATTTCCCGTTTCCTCTTTCTCTAGCACCTTCAAATGAGTGGATTTTCACACAATACTTGTCAAACGATACCCTACCATGTTTCAGATTTGATCTTGTACGTCAGCTATTTCAGATTCAGTGGTCTTGATTGCGCTTTATCAAATCCACTTTCTTTGTGTAGTTAACCCTGTTTTCTGTTTTTTGTTACCTACATTACACCCTTCGGGTCATCAGTAGTGCACATACGAAAATGCCCTCGCCCCCTACCACCCCATCCCGGAGTCTCCTCATAACAAGTTCTTGAGTTGTGAAGTAAGAAACTTTCTGTGATCTGGGAATATCGAGCAAAGCGATTTCATAGACCGGGGTTGCACTGCATAGAAAGTTGACACCACGTTAAACATTCTTTGCTTAGCGTTCAAAACATTTATTAAACTATCCCACTTTGTACATTGGCGATATTTACAATTGATGACGGCACTATCTAGAAATCTCTATTCAGTCCAAGTGGAGACCAGTGATACACGAGTATGGGGGAGTGGACGCGCCATGAAAAAGGACGAAGACGGGTGACAAAAGAATGATCAGTGATAAGCTCTAAAGCGCGCGTGATTCACGAGCCTGTCTCTCGCGCTTCGTGTTCGTGTATCGCGCTGCGCGTTCCGCACTGCTTAAGTCTTCACTTTTCCTTCCCTCTTCTCTTTCCAACCTTACATTGCAGCTACTTCAATGACAACAGTGTAGAATCAAACACTCATTTGCAAATTTCTTTTTACAGTTGACACATTGTCCTTCGTTTCGCGGTTCCGCCAAATCTCCGCTTCTTTCGGTCCAAAATGAAATGGTTTCTACTACAACAGCATTTTCGAAAAAAGGCAGAACTTCCTCCCGTTCTGTTTTCTACGTGCTGAACTGAACAGAGCATGCATGTGTCGAAATATTTTCGTCGAAACTCACTGGTCATGCTTTGCAAATAGTTCATGAAAGTAATTAAAAAACAGCCCCATACATATCAATACATGATGTAGTTTCGACTTCACAGTGATCCTGCTTTGATAATCTTGAACAAGCCATTGACATTGTTGTTCTTAATCGCTTGTCGGCAACCGGCAATGACTTGAGCTTTACCTCTGCCAACTATAGAAGAGAAGAAAGTTATTTGGGATAGAAAAAACTGTATCCATGGCAAAGCACTTATTTTATACGTTCAATAGGTTGATCATTTCCCTATCGCATCTTTTAACTCTCCGTCGCAGTAATTTACTCAAAGGATATAATTAGTCTAACAAAACATTACCGTCCGTCCATCCGTCAGCCAGCTAGTCAGTCCGTCCATCAGTCAGTCGGTCAGCAAGCCAGTCAGTCAGTCAGTCCATTCTCCGTTTGTCAGTCAGTCAGTGAGTCAGTCAGTAGGTGAGTCAGTCAGTCAGTCAGTCAGTCAGTCGAGTCAATCAGTCCGGGAGTCAGTCAGTCAGTCAGTCAGTCCATTCTCCGTTTGTCAGTCAGTCAGTGAATCACTCAGTGAGTCAGTGAGTCAGTGAGTCAGTCAGTGAGTCGATTAGTGAGTCAGTCAGCCAGTCAGTCAGCCAGCCAGTCTGTCTGTCCGTCCGTCTGTCCGTCTGTCAGTCAGTTAGTTAGTCAGTCCATTATAAAAAGTTACCTACCTCTTAGCTTTCCAGCTCGTTGAATAGCCTGATTGACAAGTTTCAAGCAGGAGAGAAGTTCTGTGTGATTGTTGCACCTGATCTTGTAGCCATTAATGAGGTCTCTGTTCAGATCATACAGTTCCATATAGCCTTTTCTCATATTTTTCCTGTCAACAAGCCAAAATTGGAAATTAGAGACAAAAACCACCGCAACACAACTACAACATAAGCGCAGTCATCAACTTGACGTTATCTCCGTCCGTGCCAACTATCAAATAGGAGAGCCTGAACAATTTTCCACACATTTCTCAAACCATTTGATTTTCAACGAATTTGAGGACATATTGGTTTAATAGTGGGTACACAAAGGGTCATCGTTACATGTGATGTACCACAAAATTCTCGGCACTAGAATAAAGGGCACTGACACAATTACTACGGAGAATTAATGTTTTCGACTGGAGGCGTAAAGAAAAATGGCTTGATTTTATTTGAAGGGCTCTTTGTAAGAGTAGTCTCACAGGAGAGATAAGATGGGGGCAGAGAGGAAAGACAGGTCAAGACTCTGTTCGAGCCTTGTGACCCATAGCGTGTGTACAGGTTAAGTCAAGCTGGAGCTTATCCCGGTTTCTGGAGCATGAAGCGACTAGGAATATTTCTACTCCCCCCTGGATGGGATCTTGGTACCTTGAAGGGGTTCCTCCAGCATTAATTTGGCTGCTACCCATTTATACACCTGGGAGGAGAGAGGCACTGTGACAGGAAAGTGTCTTGCCCAAGAACACAACACAATGACCACAGCCAGGGCTTGAACCCTGACTTCGCGGTCCATAAAGCCACTGTGCCTCTACACATTTTCTGCGTCCAAGTGCCTACTACTGCTTAATCCGGGGTCCTACACACAAGCCACTTGGCCCTGGTGCGTTTACCAAGGGAAGAAGTAAGTAAGTAAACTTCATTTTGACAGGGTAGCCCATTCAGCTCTAAGGCTGGTCTCCATAGGCGCCCTGTATCTAAAAGTTATACAGATTAAAAGCCTAAAATACAATAGAGTGTATTCGCGTGACGTCATCAAATTCTCAAGTCCAAAACTAAAGAGCCATTTAAAAAGGTTTTATCCTCATCAGGCATCTGTTTGCAACTTTCCAGCTCAATAGCGTCCTTCGTTTGACAACCAGAGCATTTTGAATTTCGGAGTTATGGCGGTGCGTAACATGAACCTAAGATCGCGTTTGTCGAAAAGTATATACTTATCTCGTGATTTTTAGCCATTTTAGGAGTTAAAGTATCAGGAAAAGTACTTGTGTTAATGTTTTTTGGTTCGGTTTAGATAATCAGTTGTCTAGATAGCCAAAGTAAGTTCCAGATGTTAACACTATTTTCTGGCCGTCATATTGCAGGACGTAACATGGCGATTATTTCGATAGTCGATAAAAATCGATCATTGTCGATCGTTGTCGATACTAATCAATCGACAAATATCGGAAATCGATAAAACTCGATCACACAATTTATTGTGATTATCGACTTTGTTCGATTATGATTGATTTTGATCGATTTTGATCGATTTTGATCGATTTCAATCGACAAGTATCGGAAATACAAAAAACGATGTATGGCGTAGGCGTACGTAGGTTGCGGAGTGGTACAACAGTCACAGGTGCAAGGAGAAGCAAGGGGCATACAAACCCAGCGAATTTAGCCAACCTAGCGGAGAGCATAGTTAGTGGAGGGGAGGTAGGAGCTTGTATTTTTCAAATGTTGAACTGAGTAAAAACATTGATGAAATAAAATGTCAATTTACTATACTTTACTTCTTAATTACTTTGCTGGCCCCAATTTTTTCTCGCATCTAGTCTAAACTTTGGCCCGTTCTGTCCCCCCGAAGAAGCACGTCTTCGAGTTCCCAGGATCTCTCATCTCCCCGCCTAGAGAGACCCTGGGAACTAGTTTGGTTCGAGTTATGCAAAAGATCGCGATTTAGTTCAGCTGAAACTGTTAATCGATCATTTCTCGAGGTAATTTAAACATTCTATTCTGTAATGAATAACAGACCACTTGGTTGTTCAGGTTTTATTTAAGTTTATTGCCACACAGATTTACTTAAGAGCTGTTTACACTCGGCATTAAAAAAAAGTCATTAGAGCTATTATTGGTTTGGTTACTTGAATTTCGTAGCTGATTGAAACATTTGTCTGCGTTTTTGTCGATAAAATCGATAATCAATTGAAAATCTTGTGATTATCGACTTTTATCGACAAATTTAACTTGTCGATTG